CATCCTGGGTGATGGCCCTTCCAACAGCTACACCAATCCATCCTGGGTGATGGCCCTTCCAACAGCTACACTAATCCATCCTGAGTGATGGCCCTTCCAACAGCTACACCAATCCATCCTGAGTGATGGCTCTTCCTACAGCTATACCAATCCATCCTTGGCGATGGCCCTTCCTACTCAACCCATCCTCACCCACTTCCCTGATTCTCTTCTTAACGTCATCGGATTAAACACAGAAATTAGAAACAGAGGAGGCCATTCGGCCCTTCGAGCCTGCTCCACCATTCATTGTCATCATGGCTGATCATCCAACTCAGTCCCCCGTTCTTGCCTTCTCCCTGTACCCTTTGATCCCTGTAGCCCTGAGAAATATACCTAACTCTTTCTTGAGAACATTCAATGTTTTGGCCTCAATTGCTTTCTGTGGCAGAGAATTCCACAGGCTCACAGCTTTCTGGGTGAAGAAATTTCTCCTTATCTCAGTCCTAAATGGCCTACCCATATCCTTAGACTCTGACCTCTGCTTCATCACTCCTGGCATAGCAACCCTTTGTTAAAAATCTGCCTGTATAATGATTGTTAAAATGAAACACTAAGCTCAGAGTGCAGACCAATGCTGCTGTTTGAGAACTAATAGTGATATGATTAACCAAAAAGCCTTTATTTGGGATTTCTCAAAGTCTACTATCTGTGAGCGTGGGTTATTTAACCTCTCCTGGCGCTCAGAATCACAATGCAAATCCCACTACAACAGTGTCTGAAGTCAAACCTCAACACTTCCCAGTTCCCGAGGAGAAAAATCACTGTGAAATTTCTTACATTTCTTAGTTATATTAGAGACTGGGGAAGCGTGGGGAGGCAGTGCTGTTTGATGGAATATGACCATAGTCAGGAATCATATAACTGGATAAGCAAACAGTTTGTACACTGTGAGCATGGACCAATGATGGGAGCAAAAGTGTAGGGAGTTCATGCGTGGAGCCTTCTGGAATCGAAATAAGTCTAGCCTCGAGTTGGTCACTCTGTGCCCGCTCACTCCACTTTTGGAAGAAGCTTGTCTGGTGGTGCCCTGAGGTTTGACCCCTTTTGGCTATTTATTCTCATCACAGCCATGACATGTTCACAGTGGGCTCTACACGGCCAGTTTAACTGTCATGCTGGAAAGACAGAAACACAAGGTCATATTTCAGCTCCTTTGACCCACTGTCCCTTCTTTACCCCTTGGACTCAGGATTCTCCATCACCACTCTCTTTTGTCTAAAGTAGAACTTTATGGCATCACTCCTTCAGGATCTAAGGAGCTTGTTTTAATTTTAAGATAACACTTCCTCCACCCTCGTTCTAGACTTCCCCTGAGAGCGCAAATTGCTTCTCTCTATCTATCTTCCTTCCACCACAGGGACAAGTGATGGCCTCGTGGTATTATCACTGGACTGTTAATCCAGAGACCCAGGTAATGTTCTGGGGACCTGGGTTTGAATCCTGCCATGGCAGGTGCCCGAATCTGAATTTAATAAAAATCTGGAATTAAAAGTCTCTTTACTGCCCTCTGGGTAATTAGGGATGGGTAATAAATGCTGACTGAGCCAGCGACACCCTGATTCCATTAATGAATATTTTTTAAATCCTTTCGATTTCTTTGATCATCTTAAACACCTCAATCTCTATATTTATGGAAACAGCAGCTTAGTCTCCTTCTGGTAAACTTGTGATGCAGTCCCTCCTCACTAAGAAGGCTATGCTCTCTAAAATACATTGCCCAGAGCTGAACACAGTATTCTCAGTGCTGTTTGGCCAACTGCAGCGTAACCTCCAGTCCTTTCTATTCTCGCCTCCTTGAGATAACAGCTAATTTTCTACAAGCCTCTTACATTATCCTCTGCTTCTCCATTCACTTCCTACTCACTCCAAGAGAACACATCACGTGCATCAGCTCCCTGCCCCAGGAATGCTGGGATTCTACAGAAACTCCTCGGACACCTTCCTCCCCCTGCATTTTGTGAATAGTGTGATTGATTCAGAAAAAGAAAACTAGCCGACCTCCGTTGTAAATGTCACACTGTCATCATCCATTCATGGGGCTAGTACTTAACTCCACTGTGTCAGGCGTTCTCCAGTTTTTAAGCCAAGCCATTTTTTCTCCGTTCCAATAATGCCAGCTGTCAGATTGTTACTACAACCCAACTGAATCACCAGCCCTCCCTACCTGGCCTGGTCCTTGTACAGGGCTTCAGTCACACAGCAAGGAGGCTGACTCATCGTTCTCAGAAGTGGGCCATGCCTTCACATGGAAATTAGGGATGGCCATGAAATTAAGCTTAATGAATTCCTGAGAACCCATTAACAAAGACTTGACAATCATAGAGAACAGCCCTATCGGCTGTGAAGAGCAAGATGTGAAAGGCAACACAGTATGGAGCTGTGAAGGGTCCCGATCCGAAACGTCAGCTTTCCTGCTCCTCTGATGCTGCCTGGCCTGCTGTGTTCCTCCAGGCCCACACTCTGTTATCTCTGACTCCAGCATCTGCAGTTCTTACTACCTCCAAGATGAGAAAGGCAGCTTGTTACCATCTTATTTTTATTGCTGCAGCTAGTCAGCACACAAATAAAATTACCGAGGCACAATGAGCATCTGAGAGGCTTGAGGTTTTACAATCACAATTAAACCAATTGGACCAGCAGCTCTCATTGTCAGGCAAAGAGTTACTGGAAAAATTAGGCACAGGAAGTCAGTTTAAAGTTAACATTTTAAATTTTGTGCCAATACTTCAATGGCATTCCTTGACTTAAGGGTTCATTATCCCTGGACTCCCGCATTTCACTATCACTCCACCAGCCACATTCAACTCTTTGGCACCCTCATTCACTCTTGACAAATCTCCCAGGGACCATCAATCTCTCGTGTCTCTCTCTCGTGCACGCACACAGACACACATACTTGAGCCGACACAGACAGACAGACAGACAGACAGACA